AGCGATTTACTTGGCAATAAAACATTTCCGACATATGATTGAGGGTACCATTTTCACAGTATATACAGACCATAAACCCCTCACAAAAGCATTGAACGCCAAACAGGACAACTACTCGCCGAGGGAAATCCGACAATTAGAATTTATTTCCCAATTCACGTCTAACATACAGTATGTCAAAGGCAATAGTAACGAAGTGGCAGACGCGCTATCCAGAACGATGGTCAACGCTCTCGTCCAGTCCGAAATCGATTATCACAAGTTAGCAGCATTACAAAATATCGACGTCGAGTTAAACAGACTAAAGTCTGCCAACACAACCTCGTTAGTTCTCAAAGAAACTCCATTGGAAGAAGTAAGCATCACCTGCGATATTTCTACAGGTCAACCAAGACCATTTATTCCAAAGCCGCTAAGGCGAAACATTTTCGAAGCCATGCACAATATTTCGCATCCCGGAATAAAGGCCACCATCAAACTAATCAGCGAACGTTTTGTATGGCCAAGTATGAATCGGGATATTCGTAATTGGACGCAAGCGTGTATAAAATGCCAGAGAGTTAAGATACATCGCCACACCAGTTCCGCAGTAGGTCATTTCCGTCATCCCGATAACAGATTCGAGCACGTACATATCGATATTATAGGACCACTGCCGGTTTCGAATGGTTTCAGTTACATTTTCACTTGCATTGATAGATTCACACGATGGCCTGTAGCTGTGCCCATAAAAGATATTACAGCCGAAACTATCGCAAAAACCCTAGTAGAGCATTGGATTTCTCATTATGGTGTACCTACTAATATCACAACCGATAGAGGAGCTCAATTCGAGAGCCGCCTCTTCCAACAACTCACAGAACTACTCGGAATCAAACGAATTCGCACAACATCCTACCATCCGATGTCGAATGGTATGGTAGAGAGATTGCATCGGCAACTTAAAGCTTCTCTTACAGCTGTCATCAGCAATAACGATTGGGCCAGCAAGCTACCGTTAGTCATGTTGAGCTTAAGATCAACAATCAAACAAGATATAGAATGCTGCCCAGCAGAATTGGTTTATGGAACCACACTACGTCTGCCAGGAGAGTTTTTCACTGCAGGTAAAAGCGATCCAACTGATATAGCGGACTATGTACAGCGTCTTAAGCAGCATATGAGTAGTCTAAGGATAACGCTTCCGAGACAACATCAACGCCGTGTGTACATACCCAAACAACTAAGTGACAGTACCCATGTGTTTATCAGAAGGGATAATGTGCAACGTCCCTTACAACCAGCCTACGATGGTCCATTTAAGGTGATTAAACGAGACGACAAAACTATCACGGTAGAAAAAGCTGGAAAAACGGATGTAATTAGCATCGACCGAGTCAAACCAGCTTTCATCGAAGCCTACGATCAGCCAGTACATACAGATACTGCGAAAACCGTTGAATCATCGAAGCGTCAGTTCCAATCATCAACGACATCGACAAACACAAGCAAAGAGAATCCAGTAACGACAAGGTCTGGCCGAAGAGTAAGATGGCCCCAACATTATGTCGCTACAATCTTCTATTAATAATTTTCTACTATTTAAAATATTAATTATAACTTCCACTTCATTGTACACACATGCATTACTAATTTCATGTTATACGCTATAAAACTCAACATATCTTATGTACCCCTACACTTACACGTATAATTTTTATTTAAAATGTAAAGCAATACCGCATTCCTTCTATTTATTGCTATTATTTTTTAAAACCTCACGGACGGGCGCAAACCAAATGTACAGCACACACTAACTTCATCTTAATTTTGTACAAACCATTTTTTTCAAACGACTGTAACTACCCTACTCAGTTTACTATTTTTTTTGTGCAAACACAGACATTTTTCCATATATCTTTGTTTGCAGGGGGGAGCTATTATAGTGACTCACGTGCAATTGAGTTTAGTTCAGTCAAGGTCTTTTGTTGACCTATTTAATGGACAAAGTCATCCATGATATAACAACTTGTTGTATTATCTTTATTATTATGCTTGTATGAAATACATATGCTTGAACATTGTTTAGCGCCTACGCATGTATTCATTCTGCTAGCTTCATTATTAACTGCTTAATCTATTCGCTGACTCATCCATTTTCCTATACATATATATATGTGTACATTTGCATGCATTCACTACTTCCACTACTACTACTACTACAACTACTTGCTACTGCTACAATCGTAGTTCGCTTGCTCATTCATTTTGCCTCTCTGCTGTCTGGTCCGAATTATCTACTAAATAAACTGTAGTAGCTGCTTCTATTTGCCTTCTGATTTCAAACATCGTTGAAGATTATACGATAACGGTTCGAGGGTGATTAATTAACGAAGCACAGCCACTACAAACAAACGTCAATATGTTAATTGGTCAATGGTATAAGAAAACGAAACGAAATATGTTAGAAATAAATTTACTTGGTGTTGTTTTACTTGTATCATCCCATTGATATTTAGGAGTGCAATTGATCAGTCTCATGTTGGCATATGTGCACCCTGTGCGGATTGCGAACGAAACGTGCGTCCTGCATTTCACTGCTGGTCACTACTCATTTTTGCTTAAAAAACTTGTAACTTAAGGCTATATCGAGGCAATCCGTGCAGGATGAACATGTACCAACAAGAGACTGATCAGTTGCAATCCTAAACAACAATGGGAAGGTAGAAGTAAAACACCAAGTGAATCTAAGCTTCACCCTAATACACAAGTAGGTGGCTATCAGGACTTAGTAGCTAAGCAGATAACGCGATGGCGTTTGAAGTGAATGGTATTGCGTTCGAGTCACGGAGTGAACATTAACTCTGGGATGCAGGTACATCCGGCTGACGAGCCCCGAATAGGACGAAACGCGAGTCAAACTGGATTCCACTGCTAGCCACTATCCGTCTTTGCTTAAAAAGCTTATGTTAGAAATAGTTTACTTCCAAAGTTAAATTCAAATGATACGAACAGTAAACACAACAGTTAGTGTAATAATAAATATTGTTTAATAAGTCGATATATACATAGAAGAGAATCAATCATCAAGCGTTCTAAGTAAAACAGTGTTTTAGCGGATCAACGAAATAAGAGTGTAGCTTAAAATAATTACCTTTGATTATACGAATACTTTTCTACGGTCGTCATCCCTTAAACTATGAGATTAAAATCGCTTCATATCTTTATTTCTACAAACTAATTCTTTCTTCCTGTACTATATCCTTATGTGCAATCTTTCTTTTATATAATACTACCATTGAATTAACTACTTCTATGAATCCGGTTTTTATCTTATTGTGCTAATGAGGTATAGCAACTTGGACCGATGTATATATGTGCTTGGTCCTACGTTGTAGCTGATTGACTGACTAACTGAGTACAGGCGTGGATATACAAATAAGAAGCATAGATTGAATTATTATAGCTTATAATTACAACTCATCTAACAAGTTAGTATTCGAAGACTTCACTAATTCAAATGTGTAAATACTTGAAAATTGCTTCCAATATAATTGATAATTTTACGCACTATTTATTGGTTAATAATGTTTAATCAATATATTAACTTGAACAAATTAATTGACCAATCAAATATCATCTAACTTCTATGTTAATATTTATGTGAAATAGCACTATCTGTTTTATGTCAAAACTTATATAGTTACAAAAAAAAAAAAGAAACAAGTAAGTTCATTTTATTTTGTTCCCGGTTTAAAAGAGATTTACAAAAAAACTTAATTATTGAGTAATAATAATATATATGAAAGTACATGAAGATAATTTACCCAATAATAGTTCTATATAATTATTATTATATAACTTGTTGAGATAATCATTCAAACGTAATTAATTGTTTATTATTGAATCAAATAATTGATAATGATTGATATATAAACGAAAAAATCGAATTTGAATTTATATATAATACGTGATATCTTACTATAATAGTTCAAATTGTTTATTATTACATATTAAAAGACTAACGTCTTTTAACTCTGTCCTCTACTTTCACATTCAATTGTTTTCAATCACTGTACATTCTTTAAATGTCTATTTTCAATTCTCAACGTAAGATGTTATTTTAGTCTTTCTGTTTTTCATTTCTTTCAAAAAGTTTAAGTTAACGATGATCTTGTAATGTAGTTTGATGATTTCTTCCATGTATGTTCTCATTAGTTGTAGAATCTTTTCTAAACATGATATAACATCAATTCAAAAAGTTATGGTCTATTGGTAGGTGAAAATTATTTGGTTGAGATTAATGAGATTATTGTAATTAGTGATTGAAGATGATAAGGCTGATGATAAGGCTTAGAATTAATCATAAAGGATCTAATAAATTCACTCTATTCTTCTCCTAGAACTTAAGTTTTAAAATGATCTTTCCATTCAATGAACTTATATCTTTTCCAATCATATTGTTTATGTCTAGAATTCTCTACTATCATTATTAATTTTATTACTATGGTATTTATCTTAATAATTTCATCTTGTTGTGCCGATTTGATAATGATAACATTGACTAATGTATTTATATGTTAAGTTTTCCGTTGATATTGATACAAAATTACTTTTGTTTTAAAAATGTAATTTCTATGTTATTTTTAGTTTTATAATATGAAATATTAAATTTAGTATCCAATGAAAACGTATTGAAATTCCTTACAATTGATACAAACATCCACACTCATTCAACTTGATTCTAGTTGGTTAAGCGCCTGGCGCGAGACTGATAGGTTCTGGTTTTGAATCTCGCGAGGTGCGGGATCGTGGATACGCATTGCTGAGGAATCCCATACTAGGATGGAACGGCCGTCCAGTGCTTCCAGGTTTTCCATGATGGTCTAGCTTCAATTGATTCATGATTTCAATCAGTGAATTTTCTAAAAATCTCCACAAAACCCCTTCTGATCATTTTATTTAATCAACTGTTTATTATCATTATTGATTTTATTTTATTTCATTTGTTTTAAAGTATTATGAATAATAATTGGAAGAGACCAGATTTACCAAGTAAATGTACATTTTCTTCAAAACAATCAATCATTGAAAGTCCTCATCATCATCACCATTTTCATCCTCATCAGCATCAGCATCATCATCATCATGATAATTCAATGTATGTTTTTCTAAAAATCAATTGATATTCTAAAGACAATTCAATTAATTAATTTAGTTTCAAAAGAAATAAAATTCTAAATCATTCATTAGAATTAATTGGTAATACACCTTTAATTCAATTGAATCAAATTGTAAAGAATGAAGGTATAGAATGTGAACTATGTAAGTGATAGAATATAGAAATTTTGTAAAGAAAAAAATATCTTTCTATTTTATAGTAGGAAAATGTGAATTTCTTAATATTGGTGGTAGTATTAAAGATAGGATTGCAAAACGTATGATTGAAGAAGCTGAATTAGAAGGTAAATTAAAACCTGGGGATACAATTATTGAACCAACTTCGGGAAATACTGGTATGTCTTTCTTTTTTCTTTTTTTTAAAAGTTTGTTTATTCTAATACAGAAATGCATATATGAAATCATACACTTAGAATGCCGGTTCAATGGTCTAGTAGGTTAAGTGTTCGCGAGCGAGATTGAAGGCCGTGTGTTCGAATCCCATGAGCGAGATCGTGGTTGAGCACTGCTGAGGAGTCTCACAATGGGGCGAAACGGCCGTCCAGTGCTTTCAGGTTTTCAATGGTGGTCTAACATCAATCAGTTCATGATCTCGATCAGAAACTTAGAATTTTAATAAATAATGTCTGTATTTATTACTATTATTATCTTTAAATAAGCACAAAACGAAAGTTTTAAAGATTCATACTAATAAGAGCTCGAAGAAAGCTGTGACCATTAAAATGCGTATATTAGGAGAGATAAGTATTGAACGACGGAATAAAAGTTTTAAACTTGAAATTTAGTTGGTTTACTATCGATTCTTTTGCTTCTATGATCAATCGGAAATGCAGTTCTTTAAATGTTGAATAAAGAGTTCACTTTCAATCGATACTGTAACTAAATAATATATTTGTAATTTCCCAATGAGTAGAAAAATTAGATTTTTTGATGTTTCGTAACTTAGTGTAGCTACTTCTTCAGAGAATAAGTAACCCTTAAAGGTTTTCTGTGTGAATTGAAATTTAATCCTTTCTCTATCAGACTGATTTCATGATTGGTTAAGTTTCTATCTGAGAGATTATGAACAATTCTTATTAGGTTTTATTGCTGGCGTTTTCATATCTTTCTTTCTTTCTTCGATCCTTTCAAATTTTTTGATTTGACGGCTTTTTGATGAATCTAAATAATGGCGTTCTCTTCCTATAAACAGGTTAGAAATTGTGGTTTGTAATTCTGCAGGATCATCTAGGTCTTTAAATCGTTCACGATATTTTTCAAGTAAATATGTGCATTTGTGAATGCGTCCTCGTAAAAATATTCGAGATGAGCGTTGTAAACTTCATTTAATTAAATATCCTGTTATTGTACCAATTCCATTTAAACTTGGATAATTTGATCCGGTTATTAATGGGTTTGTTACTTATTCTCTGAAGAAGTGGCTTACACTAAATCACGAAACGTCAGAGAATCTAACTTTTCTACTCATTGGGATATTACAAATATATTATTTATTTATAACTATCTACCCAATGCTCAATTTATTCGAAATTATCAAGTCAAACCTTGATAATGATACCTAAAAAATACTGCAATGGTTCGGATCAAGTAACAATTGATCAGTACACAATTTGGGGCCCAATGATAAAGCTTGCATTAAGATTTATGAGAGGGGGATAGAAGAGTGATCAAATATATGTTTTTTTTAGGATTTTAAGGAAACTCTTCATTTATTTCTACTGGTTTAAAAGTTTTTAAATACTTAAGTTTAGCTTTGTGTGATTATTGTTCAGTGATATGAAAAATTCCGTAATTGTTTGCGCTCACCTGAGAAAAGCGCAGTATTAGCAGAACACCCGGAGATCAAGCGAAAATACAGTTCAGATGGCAGAACGTACCGAGTGATGTAAATGGACGACTGAAGGCTGTGTATATGTATTGTTTAGATACTTTGTAACTTTTTACAACAAACATACAATACACCTGCCTATTGTCTTGTTTTACAGTGGTACCTGCTTCCATAGTCAAACTTATCATTACAAATATAATTAACTATCATCCCATAGAAAATATTCATAATCATATCTACCCTCCACAATTATTATCAACATCAAATATTAGAGTAGTTATAGTGAATATACATATTTTATTACTTATTACTAATTTTAAATAGGTATTGGATTGGCGCTTACTGCTTCTCTTAAAGGTTACCGATGTATAATTGTAATGTCAGAGAAAATGAGTAGTGAAAAGGTAAACTATCGTAGTTTTCTTCTGGTGATTTTGCACTTTTATTTGATTATTTTGTTGTCATAATCAAGAATTACTGGCTTTATGAAGTAAAATTACCTTTTGAGCATGAACCAACTAGTTCACATTTGTAACCCAATTGCACACCTATTGATATATGTAAGTTAATTGGGTGACGAATAAGTGTTAGTACGTATTAGAAGAAAATCTTTCCAAAATTTCCATACTAAGCTGTTTAATTAAAAATATCAAAAGAATTTGAAAAGTCATACGACTTGTAGGATCAATACAGTCTATTTGAATTAACTGATGTTATTTGTGTGAAGATCACGTTATTACATGAATGGATTGAAGTTAATTTTGTAAAACACTGAATTCTATCTCACTAGCTTAAATATTTCGTGATCAAAAAGTTTCTCAAAATTTATAGGTTTATTTTCGTGTATAACATTACTTACTTACGCCTGTTACTCCTCGTGAAGGAGCATAGGCCGCTCACCAGCATTCGCCATCAAACCCTGTCCTGGGCAATCCTTTCCAGCTCCTTCCAGTTGTTATTCATCCTTTTCATATCTGATTCTGTTTCCCGACGTAATGTGTTATTTGGCCTTCCTCTTTTCCGCTTCCCTTCAGGATTCCAAGTTAGGTCTTGTCTCGTGATACAGTTTGATGATTTGCGTAATGTATTTCCTATCCATTTCCATCGTCTTTTTCTAATGTCCTCTTCAGCTGGAAGTTGGTTTGTTCTCTCCCACAGAAGGCTATTGCTGATGGTATCTCAACAATGGATGTTGAGTATCTTATGTAGACAACCATTTATAAATACTTGTACCTTCTCGACGGTGGTTGTTGTAGGTTTCAGCTCCATACAGTAGAACTGCCTTGACGTTCGCATTGAAGACTATGAATTTGATATTGGTTGAAGGTTGTTATGAGTTCCATATGTTCTTCAATCGAAGGAATGCGGCCCTTGCTTTGCCAATCCTCGCCTTTACATCTGCATCTGAACCTCGTTGTTCGTCGACGATGCTTCCTAAGTATGTGAAGGACTCTACATCTTCCAGAGTTTTGCCATCAAGAGTGATTGGATTGCTGTTCTCCGCTTTGAATTTGAGAACCTTGGTTTTCCCTTTGTGTATGCTGAGGCCTACTGATGCAGAGACTGCTGCTACACTGGCTGTCTTCATCTGCATCTGTTCGTGTGTACGTGATAGGAGGGCTAGGTCATCTGCGAAGTCCAAATCGTCTAATTGATTCTGAGCTGTCCATTGTATTCCGTGTTTTCCTTCAGATGTCGAGGTCTTCATAATCCAGTCGACCACCAGAAGAAAGAGGAAGGGAGAGAGTAAACAGCCTTGTCTGACTCCAGTCCTTACTTGGAATGCATCTGTCAGCTGTCCTCCATGCACTACTTTGCACTGTAGTCCGTCGTATGAGTTCCGGATAATGTTGACAATCTTCTCAGGAACTCCGTAGTGTCGAAGAAGTTTCCATAATGTCCTCCTATCTACACTGTCGAATGCCTTTTCATAATCAATGAAGTTGATGTATAGTGATGAGTTCCACTCAACTGATTGTTCGACGATGATCCGTAGTGTTGCAATTTGGTCTGTGCACGACCGATCCTTACGGAATCCAGCTTGTTGATCTCGAAGTTGGGCGTCTACTGCATCCTTCATCCGGTTCAGCAACACTCTGTTGAAGACTTTCCCTGGTATTGACAGTAGTGTAATGCCTCTGTAGTTTTCACATTTGCTCAGATCTCCTTTCTTTGGAATCTTGACGAGGTGTCCTTCTTTCCAGTCCATCGGCACTTGTTCCTCCTCCCAAATCTTTTTGAATAGAAGGTAAAGCATGCTTGTGGTTGCTTCGATGTCTGATTTCAGTGCTTCAGCTGGTATGTTGTCGGGTCCTGCTGCTTTCCCGTTCTTGATTTGTCTGACGGCCATTCTAATTTCTTCCGTCGTTGGTGGGTTGACATCTATAGGAAGATCTATGTGTGCTGCTTCGATGTCCGGTGGATTCATTGGAGCCGGCCTATTCAGGAGTTCCTCGAAGTATTCTACCCATCTGTTACGCTGTTGTTGAATTTCGGTGATTGGCTTGCCTTCTTTGTCTTTGACCGGCCTCTCTGGTTTACTGTATTTCCCTGCTAGTTTCTTCGTTGTATCGTAAAGCTGTTTCATATTTCCTTCTCTAGCAGCTTTTTCTGCCGTCGTTGCTAGTTCTTCCACGTATTTCTTCTTGTCGGCTCTAATGCTCCTCTTCACTTGTTTGTTTGCTTCTATGTATTCAGCTTGTGCTTGGACTTTCTCTGCTCGTGTTCGGCTGTTGTTAATTGCTGCCTTCTTGTTCTTCCTTTCTTTGATCTTGTCCAGTGTTTCTATAGAGATCCATTCCTTATGATGGTGTTTCTTTAGGCCCAGAACCTCTTGACACGTTGAAGTTAATGCTTCCTTGATGCCTTTCCAGTTGTCCTCCATAGTAGTTTCTTCTTCATTCAGTAGATCTTGTAAGGCTTGGAACCTGTTGTTGAGAGCTATCTTGAATTCATTGAGTTTGTCAGTATCTCGAAGGAAGGCTGTATTGAACCTTTGTAGTGCTGTTTGTCCACTTGTCCAGTTCTTTTTTAGCTTCAGTTTTAAATTGGCTACAACTAGGTGGTGATCTGAAGCTACGTCAGCACCTCTCCTGGTTCTCACATCTTCCATTGTCCTTCGGAATTTTTTGTTGATGCAAATATGATCTATTTGGTTCTCTGTAGTGTGGTCCGGTGAGATCCATGTAGCCTTGTGTATACGCTTGTGTGGAAATATTGTGCCTCCTATGACCAATTTGTTGAATGCACACAAATTTGCAAATCTTTCTCCATTTTCGTTTCTCTTTCCCAGTCCATGTCGTCCCATAATATCTTCATATCCAGTGTTGTCTATTCCGACTTTGGCATTTAGATCTCCCATCAGAATAGTTAGGTCCTTTCTTGGCATTTCTCAATGATTGACTGCAGCCGCTCGTAGAACTGATCTTTAATGTCGTCGTTGCTATCATTGGTGGGTGCATAACATTGGATAATATTCATTAAGATCCCCTCCTTCTTTGTTTTGAATGATGCTTTGATGATTCTGGATCCGTGAGACTCCCATCCTACAAGTGCATTTCGTGCTACTTTGGACAGCATAAGAGCGACTCCCTGAGTGTGTGGAGCATTTTCCCCTTCGTGACCGGAGTATAGCAGCATCTCTCCCGTAGCTAGCCTTTTCTGTCCAGCTTGGGTCCAGTGGGTTTCGCTGATTCCCAGTACTGCTAAGTTGTATCTCCTCATTTCCATTGCTATTTGACTGGTCTTCCCGGTTTCCCACATTGTTCGAACGTTCCATGTACCTATAAAAATTTTTGCTCTGGTTGTTAGAAGGGGCATCGGCCTCGTGGCTTCCGAAGGAACTCGGCTTTCACCATGAAGCGTCATAATTCTTCTAACTGAAGACCTTCTAACTCCCAGGGCAGAGTTTAAATGGTTTGAATAATTTTTTCTGGTAAGCGTTTTTTTAGCGAGTTAGTTTTCTACGGGATGGGGACGCTAACCCCATGCCCAACCCTCCTCCTTTACCCGGGCTTGGGACCGGCAGTAACCCTGTTAGAGCTACAGGCGGAGTTTTGTGTATAACTATGAGTACGTATTATTAATAGAGTCCCGAAAACACTTTGGGACTAGTGTAAGTGACTAGACAACCAGTGGATTATGTTTAAATGTTAGTTATTTGAAAGTGATTGCTAGTATACCTTGTAAATAGGTTTCTTTCTTGTTGATTTTTTCTATGTAAACACAGAGTATGTAATGTTAAGCCACTTAGACAAGATGCCAAATTTCGACTTGACCGATAGGATTTGATTACTTCCTAGAGTATAGAGCAAACATAAGATTGGTCATCAATCAGTGAGGCATCTATGAAGTACTCTATGGTCGTCAATATTTCCCTATTTCAGGATAGTTAGTGAAGTATATCACCTTCAGATTTCTATATATTCAATCTTATTATTTAGATCTGATGAAGCCAATTTATTTCATGTTTAAAAATGTCTATTATTCTCATTAGTTGCCTGATAATTATACAACACATTAACTGAAAGTAATTATGTGCTCATTTAGCAAACTATTTCGTTCTTTATTATGATCAAATGAATCAGTATTGAAATATACCGTTTTTACTGTTCTATTCTTATAAAGGAATCGTACTTAAGATGCCTTGGAGCTGAAATTGTCGTACACCGGCTTCTGCAAATTTTGATCATCCTGATTCATTGTTTCGAGTGTCAGAAAAATAAAAAATGAAATTGGTCCATCTGCCATATCATGAATCAATATACAAATCCATATAATCCAATAG